GAGCCGGGAAGACTCCACCATGGTGAGGGGCAGGGCCTGGGACCTGGGGCTGGGGTCCCCTGGGGAGGGGCCTTCCTCACCACTGTCACCTGCAGATCCTGCAGACGGGGCAGGAGATCATGGAGCTGGACACTAGCGGCTTCGCCACGCAGGGCCCCACAGTCTTTGCCGGGAACATTGGGGACAACCGCTACATTGTCCAAGTGTCACCGCTGGGCATCCGCCTGCTGGAAGGAGGTGGGTGGGCGGGGATGGGGGGATGGGCCCTGGGGAGGCATATGCTGACTGCCCTGTGCCCACAGTGAATCAGCTGCACTTCATCCCCGTGGACCTGGGCGCCCCCATCGTGCAGTGTGCCGTGGCCGACCCCTACGTGGTCATCATGAGCGCTGAGGGCCACGTCACCATGTTTCTGCTGAAGAGCGACTCCTATGGCGGCCGCCACCACCGCCTGGCGCTGCACAAGCCCCCGCTGCACCACGTAGGCCCCCCATTCCTGGTGCCCGCCCGTCCTGGCCCCCTGCCCGCCACTGAGCCCACCCCTCTCCCCGCAGCAGTCCAAGGTGATCACACTGTGCCTGTACCGAGACCTCAGCGGTATGTTCACCACAGAGAGCCGTCTGGGCGGGGCCCGTGACGAGCTGGGGGGCCGCAGTGGCTCGGAGGCCGAGGGTCTGGGCTCAGAGACGAGGTGCGTTGGGGCCAGGGGTGCAGGTGGGGGCTTGGTCCCTGTGGCTGGCAGGCTGCCTGTGACCCTCTGTCGGCCCCCAGCCCCACAGTGGATGATGAGGAGGAGATGCTGTATGGGGATTCTGGCTCCCTCTTCAGCCCCAGCAAGGAGGAGGCCCGAAGAAGCAGCCAGCCCCCCGCTGACCGGGACCCTGCACCCTTCCGGGCAGAGCCCACCCACTGGTGTCTGCTGGTGCGGGAGAATGGCACCATGGAGGTAGGTGGTGCCCTGCCCTGCAGCCCAGCCAGCTCCACCCACCTGCCTCCACTGACTGCTGCCCACCCCACAGATCTACCAGCTCCCTGACTGGCGGCTGGTGTTCCTGGTGAAGAACTTCCCTGTGGGGCAGCGGGTCCTTGTGGACAGTTCCTTTGGACAGCCCACCACACAGGGCGAAGCCCGCAGGGAGGAGGCCACACGCCAGGGGGAGCTGCCCCTGGTCAAGGAGGTGCTGCTGGTTGCTCTGGGCAGCCGCCAGAGCAGGCCCTACCTGCTGGTGAGCACATGGCCTGGCCTCCCCTTCACAGCCCCGCCCCCTCCCATGGCCCCTCCCATCTTCCCCAGGGCCCCACCTTTATCCCTCAGGGCCCCACTCCTTCCCTACACGTCTGCCTGATCCCTGCAGGTGCATGTGGACCAGGAGCTGCTTATCTATGAGGCCTTCCCCCATGATTCTCAGCTCAGCCAGGGCAATCTGAAAGTCCGCTTTAAGAAGGTGCCTATACTGCTGGGGCGTGGGGTGGGTATGGTACAAGGGGTGGGTGTCAGACCAGCAGCCCCTGGAGGATCTGAATGGTTCTCCCCCAGGTCCCTCACAACATCAACTTTCGTGAGAAGAAGCCGAAGCCATCGAAGAAGAAAGCAGAAGGTGGCAGCACGGAGGAGGGGGCTGGGGCACGGGGCCGCGTGGCACGTTTCCGCTACTTCGAGGACATTTACGGCTATTCAGGGGTAGGCCAGCGCTTTCGCAGGGGTCTGTGGTGGAAGGGAGAGGCGGCCTCATCCACAGCCTCCTCATGGCGCCTGCCCCCAGGTATTCATCTGCGGCCCCTCCCCTCACTGGCTCCTGGTGACCGGCCGAGGGGCGCTGCGGCTGCACCCCATGGGCATTGATGGCCCTGTCGACTCTTTTGCTCCGTTCCACAACATCAACTGTCCCCGTGGCTTCCTGTACTTCAACAGACAGGTGGGGCCCAGCCCAGTACCCAGCAGCACTGGCTGATGCTGCCCTGGTCAGGGCGGAGGGGCGGGGACAGGAGAGGGACCGTTGGCTCCGCCCTGAGGACCAGGAAGGAGCGTCCGGAGGGCGGCGGGGTTGAGGCCGAGGAGGTGGAGCCTGGAGCTTGGTGATCCCAAGGTCTGGAAAGGGGTGGTTGGGAGTTGGAGCGGCAGACCCTGGGTTCCCCCCCCCCACTGCTCTGCTGGCTCTGCAGGCCTTCACAGGGCCTGGCCTCTGTACTTCCTCAGGAGAGCTGCCTTGGGTGCTGGTTCTGCTCCCTGGCTGCTCTGTGACTCTGGGAGGGCACACGTGCTCTCTGATCTTGGTTCCCCATCTGAGCCACCACAACACTCCAGGTCACTTGGGACCTTGACTGGGATGTGGTTGAGTCCTTCCCAAATGCCTGAGGACTCAGGACTGTCTGTGGAAGAGGGCGGCCCTGACTCCTGCCTACTTTCAGTCCCCAGCATGGCAGCCTGTGGGCTGCCCTTTGTCTGCAGCCTCATCTGCTTAGCTTCCCCATCACCTGTGGCCAGCATCCCTCACCCCAGCTGAGCCTGGGAACAGAAGGCAGGGGAGCCCCAGAGGCAGAGTGGCAGCCCATTCCAGGACCTCGCCTGGATACAGCTGCCCCTCACCCGCCCCTGCTTGTGAGGGCAACATCCCAGGGGCTCTTGGCAGCCTGGGCCTGCCTGTCCCTGCTCCCCTGACCCTGTGCCCCCACCCCAGGGTGAGCTGAGGATCAGTGTCCTGCCTGCCTACCTGTCCTACGACGCCCCATGGCCTGTCAGGAAGATCCCGCTGCGCTGCACGGCCCACTATGTGGCCTACCACGTGGAGTCCAAGGTCTGTCCCCAGCCCCGCCCCACCAGGGACCTTCTGGGCCTCGTCTGGCCAGTGGCGTGTGACCTCCAGTAACCTACAGGTGTATGCTGTGGCCACCAGCACCAACACGCCGTGCACCCGTATCCCACGCATGACTGGCGAGGAGAAGGAATTTGAGACCATTGAGAGAGGTGTGTGACACCCACACCACGTTCCCATCGTGAGCCTGATCTCGCGGAAGCCCCACTGTGACCGCCAGTCTTCCTCCCTACAGATGAGCGGTACATCCACCCCCAGCAGGAGGCCTTCTCCATCCAGCTCATCTCCCCGGTCAGCTGGGAGGCAATTCCCAACGCCAGGTGAGGCTGGGCCTGGGTGGGGCTCCCCAAGGCCTCTGGGGCAGCATCTGACGCCCCCGGCCCCTGCAGGATCGAGCTGCAGGAGTGGGAGCACGTGACCTGCATGAAGACGGTGTCGCTGCGCAGTGAGGAGACCGTGTCAGGCCTCAAAGGCTACGTGGCCGCTGGGACCTGCCTCATGCAAGGCGAGGAAGTCACATGCCGAGGGCGGGTAAGGGGCTGGTGGGCGGGGGCAGACGGCCCTGGCAGCCCTGCTTCCATCCGCACAGCCAACCCACAGCCATCCCCACGCCCTCCAGATCTTGATCATGGACGTGATTGAGGTGGTGCCTGAGCCCGGCCAGCCCTTGACCAAGAACAAGTTCAAAGTCCTTTACGAGAAGGAGCAGAAGGGGCCCGTGACTGCCCTGTGCCACTGCAATGGCCACCTGGTGTCGGCCATCGGCCAGAAGGTGGCAGTCCTACTTGGCGTGTGCCCCCCGCTCACCCCCACCCGGCGTGGCGCCTGCCCCCACTCACCCTCTCTACCCCCACCCCCAGATTTTCCTGTGGAGCCTGCGGGCCAGCGAGCTGACGGGCATGGCCTTCATCGACACACAGCTTTACATCCACCAGATGATCAGCGTCAAGAACTTCATCCTGGCAGCGGACGTCATGAAGAGCATCTCGCTCCTGCGCTACCAGGAGGAGAGCAAGACGCTGAGCCTTGTGTCGCGGGTAGCGTGTGGCCGTGGTGCCTGTGTCTGGGTAGGTACCTGCCCAAGGCACTTCTGACGCCCCCCTCTTCCTGTCCCCAGGATGCCAAGCCCCTGGAGGTGTACAGTGTGGACTTCATGGTGGACAATGCCCAGCTGGGTTTTCTGGGTATGTGGGCAGGGCCCTGGGAGGCTGAGGCTCTGAGGGTGGCCAGGGCTGACCCTGGGCCTCTGCTCCCCAGTGTCTGACCGGGACCGCAACCTCATGGTGTACATGTACCTGCCCGAAGGTGAGTGCTTCCTCCACCCCCTCTGCCTGGGCTGTGGCTGGGCAGGCAGTGACCCAAAGCCCTTCTGGTCTAGCCAAGGAGAGTTTTGGGGGCATGCGCCTGTTGCGCCGGGCAGATTTTCACGTGGGTGCCCATGTGAACACATTCTGGAGGACCCCGTGCCGGGGGGCCACTGAAGGGCTCAGCAAAAAGTCGGTCGTGTGGGAGAATAAGCACATCACGTGGTTCGGTGAGTGTGGGGGGCAGGTGTGTCTGGGTTGGGGGGAGCCCTAAATTTGGCCTGGCTCACACTGCAACCCCCACAGCCACCCTGGACGGCGGCATCGGGCTGCTGCTACCCATGCAGGAGAAGACCTACCGGCGGCTGCTGATGCTGCAGAACGCGCTGACCACCATGCTGCCACACCATGCAGGCCTCAACCCCCGTGCCTTCCGGTGAGCCCCGCCCCTGTGCAGCGCCCCCTCCACCCCAGCCTGCCCTGACCTCTGTGCCTGCACGCCCCAGGATGCTGCACGTGGACCGCCGCACACTCCAGAACGCCGTGCGCAACGTTCTGGACGGGGAGCTGCTCAACCGCTACCTGTACCTGAGCACCATGGAGCGCAGTGAGCTGGCCAAGAAGATTGGCACCACACCTGACATCGTAAGTGCGCTCCCCGCCCCTGTGGGTGCCCCCACCAGTGTGCGCTCTCTCCCACCCGTCCATCCCTTGCAGATTCTGGACGACTTGCTGGAGACAGACCGTGTTACCGCCCACTTCTAGCCCCACGGATGCCACCGCCGCCACCACACCGCACTACCTCCCGCCCCCTTTTTTGTATAAAAGACAAATAAAAACATTTTTGTGTGAGACGAGTGCGTGGTCATTACACGGCAAGTGCCTATGGGGCTCGGGGTGCCCACACCTCAAGCCCCGCCACAAAGGGCCCCGCTGAACCGAGCATGGTTGTGGGGCCGAGCACGCTAGGTCTCCAGGTACTGGTAGAGCTCCTCCGCTGGGGGCACAAGCCGCAGGTGGACCAGAGCGCGTGCCAGGAGGGCAGTCAGCCGCATGGCCAAGGTCTGCAGCCTGTGTGGGCGGGTCAGGTCACAGGTGGGTGGGGAGCAGGCCCTGCCACCTGCGTGCCCCAGGGCCACTCACCTGAGGGCCACTTCAAACTTGAGCATCTCCCAGACAACCTTGGCATGGCGCAGGAGGCTGGTGCTGTAGACACCCTGGTACGCGGCGCCCGCCAGGCGGCTCCAGCCCCGGACGGCCCTGCACACACCTATGTTAGTCCCATGTCCGCCCCACACCAGCCCGGCCAGAGACACCCGCACAGACAACTACTGACCTCTTGGCCATGAGGAAGTAGCGGTCCACCGGGGTGCCGAGGGCCACGTTGACGGCGCGCACAGTGTTGATGTTGCGCAGCACCAGCAGCATGGGCCGCGGCAGCGCCTTGAGCACCGCCATGACGGCCTCAAAGCGCTCGCGAGCCATGTCCACCATGTAGGCCGCCTCTTCGCGGCTCAGCAGGTGTGAGCCCCACAGCTGCCCCAGGCGCACAGGCCGCTGCATGAGCATCTCCGAGAAGAGCAGGTAGTCTGGGGAGGGAGGGGGCTCTGAGCCAGGCTCCAAGCGGCCAGCCTCCTGTGGCGCCCGGCCATCCCTACACGCCCTCACCTTGCACCCCGAGTGCAGCTGCGTGCAGCTTCATGGCGGCGTCGTCCCGCAGGATGATGGCCCGCCACAGCTGGCACAGGGCTGCGCGGTCCCTGGGGGCGGATGGGACCAGATCCGCCAGAGGTGAGCCCTGGGTGAGCCCCTAGCGGCAGGAGAGGCTTGCCCAATCCCACGCCCACCCTCCCGCACGCACTTCTCCTCCAGGAACTGGTAAAGCCCGTGGTCCAGCAGCACCAGCTCCGCCTTCCCGTCGGGGCCTTTTCGCACCAAAACTAGGAACACAGCCTTTCAGGTTGCACCCCGCCCACCCCGAGACCCCCACCCCCAGGGGACTTCCTACCGTTGCCAGGGTGTGGGTCCGAGTGGATGAAGCCCGTGTAAAATATCTGCTCAGCAAAGGCTTTGATGAGCTTCTCTGCTATCTGGGGAGAGGAGAGGCCTTGCAGTGGCCACAGGCAGCACCCGCCCGCCCCGCGCCCCAGCCCCCACCCTACACGCACGTCGTGCACCGCCAGCCCCTGGCTCCTGATGGCCTCCACATCGTTGACCTTGCAGCCGGTGTAGAAGTCAGCGGTGAGCACGCGCTGGGGAGAGCAAGAGGCTGGGCTCAGCAGGCCTGGTGCTGTGCCCACCCCAGGGGCCTGGCCCAGCCCACCTTGCTGGACTTGTCCCAGTGCACGCGGGGCACCACGACGTAGGGGAAGTGTGCCAGCTCGTGTGCACAGCGCTCCGCGTTGCGGCCCTCATTCTCGAAGTCCAGCTCCTGGGCCAGGGTCCCTTTCAGGTCCTATGGGCCAAATGGGGGTTAAGGTCAAGGCCGAGGGCCTACTCTGCCTACCAGCACCGCAGGACTCGGCAGGGGAGGGGGTGGGGCGGTACCTGGAGGACCCAGCTGAAGCCAAAGCTGGGGTGCATGACCTCAATGAGCTGCAGCAGGAGCTCCAGGGTGTGGATGTCCCCGTCAAAGCGGTCCCGCAGGTCGATGTACTGCACCTGCGCCAGGCGAGGGCGTGCTGATGACGTGGCCCCACTGCGCCCCGAGCCCACTGCTGAACCAGGCGGCCCCCACATACCTTCACAGCCACGCTGGTGCCATCATGCAGCTTGGCTCTGTGCACCTGTGCCAGGCTGGCGGCAGCAATTGGCTGGTAGTCAAACTCCTGGAAGAGCTCGTGGGGCAGGGCCTGGAAGTCCTCGAGAAACAACTCGTCCACCTGGCGGGACAGGTGCTAAGCGCAGCCTGGGCCACTGCTGAACCCCACCTCCTCTGCCTGAGTGCAGCACTCACCTCCTGGAAGCCCCGCTTGAGGGCTCTGTCCTCCAGCACGCGCAGGGTCCGGATGTACTCAGGGGGCAGCAAGTGGTTAAAGGAGCACAGCCCCTGGCCCAACTTCACGTAGAGGCCCCCATTGCTGATGGCTCCTGCCACCAGGGCATCAGCCGCCCGCTGGTGACACGCAGACATCACCTCCAAGTAGCCCGGGCTGTTCTGACCACAGGATGCAGAGAATACACGGGGCAGGTGGCTGCCTCCTCAGTCCCGTCCAACCCACCACCTTGTGCCCCCCACCGTGTGCCCAGGGCACCAGGACAAACCTCTTCCACCCCTCGAAGGACAACATTGGTGCACCACCAGTAGTCCAGGGAGATCTGCAGGCCCACCTTCAGAGACCTGTGGGCAGAGGTGGCCTCAGTCTCCAGGTGGGCAGGCTTGGAGCCCTAGCGGTTGGTCCTCTGTTGCCATGGTCTAGCCTGACCCCAGCCAGCCCTTCATGTCCCAAGGGTGAGGCCAAGCCAGAGTCCAGCCTACAGCCCTGCAGGCCTGTGGGAGCACAAGCGGGCTGCTGAGCTCACAGGGTGTCCCGTGGTGCTTCAGGACATGGCCTCTGCAGGTCAGTCTCGGCTCAAGATCTGTGGAACAGGGCCAGGTGCGGTGGCTGTTGCCTTTTATCCCAACACATTGGGAGGCTGTGCTTCGAGGGCTGCCTGAGCTTAGGAGTTCGAGACCAGCCTGGGCAACACGGTGAAACCCCATCTCTACCAAAAATACAAGAAATTAGGCAGGCGTGGTGGTGCCACACCTGTGGCCCCAGCTCCTTAGGAGGCAGAGGCTGCAGTGAGCCGAGATTGCACCAACCACACCCCAGCCTGGGCGACAAAGTGAGACTCCATCCAAAAGTGATCTGCAGAATGGGCAGCCTGTGTCCACACCACCCTCGTGCCCAGGAGAGATGCGGTGGGGCAGTGTGGATGGTGGTCTCCTGGAGAGACGGGGTTCCAAGGCTGTCTGTGAAGGGAAATGGCGGCAGCAAGGGGGCTGGGCTGAGGGAGCAGAGGCCACAGGAGGTCAAGGTCACCTGCAGCCCAAGGTCCACTAGGAAGAGGACACCAGGAGAGCGAGTCTCCAATGCCTGAGGCGGCAAGGTCTGCAGGGAAGGGACCCCAGTTAAGGCAGGAAGTGGAGGGCATCCTGGCTCTCTTGGGCAGGTACTGGGCTCCTGGGGAAGATTTGAACAAGAGGATGGGAATGCTGGGGTGGAGGGGTGTCCCCAGGCCTGGCCCCAGTCAGGAGGATCTCAGGGAGAAGGCCCCTGGGGAGCTCTGGGGACCAGCTGAGCAGCCCCAGAATGAGATGCCAAGCAAGCAGCAAGCAGAACACACACAGGAGCACAGGGAAGGGCGGAGGCCAGAGTGACCTCCTCAGTCAGGGCTTCTCGAAGGCTGGCCATGGCCAGAGGCCTGTCCCGGTGTCCTGGGAGGCTCGAGTGCCTGCCCAGGGACAGGGCCTACAGTTGTGCCTGATGCGCAGTTCTGGCTGCCCAGGTGGGCTCTGTGACCCCCATCACTCTAAGAAGATCCCCCATTGAGGCCCCACTCTGGGCCCCCATAAAGGGCACCTGGAGTATGTTGGTTGAGCTGAAGGTCCGGGTTTCTAAATGTGCTCTGAGACTAAACGGCTACTCAGTGGGCAGGGCTGCCTTCTGAGCAGGGAGCATCAGCGTTAGGTCCCAAGACCCTCGTTGACACCAGGCGTGCGGGAGAAGTCTAACTGCTCACGGCAGGCACAGGACGTGTGTTCTGTGGTCAGTGACAGGGAAGGCAGGGCCTCCAGCCACCTCGTTTCTGTGGCTGGCAGTGCGCTGACACCTCAAAAACACTGAATACAGGAATGAGTGATGGAGCTGCCAGCAGACATCCCACAGCGTTTGCCTGAGAAGACCTGTGCAGAGGGCAAGTCCGGCGGCCGCTTCTGCAAACCAGCCTGCCTGTCCCAGTGAGCTGCCCCACCCACCCCTACCTGCACACACGAGCACAAGACCCTGGCAGCACCCTGGGTTCCGTAATCAACGCCTTTGTGCATGTGAGCCAACACAATGATTTCTATCACCTAGAGCCGAGTCTATAGATAAAGCAACAGTTTTGACACAGTCAATAAAAGTTACATGAAAAATGGTTAGGCCAGGTGCAGTGGCTCACCCCCGTAATCCCAGCACTTTGGGAGGCTGAAGTAATCGGATCACTTAGGGTCAGGAGTTTGAGACCAGCCTATAGCCAATATGGCGAAACCAGGTCTCTACTAAATACACAAAAATTAGCCGGGTGTGGTGGTGCACCCCCGTAGTCCCAGCTACTCGGGAGAGGCTGAGGCACAAGAATTGCTTGAACTCGGGAGACAGAGATTGCAGTTGCCATGAGCTGAGACAGCAGCACTGCATTCCAGCCAGGGCAACACAGCGAGGCTTGGTGTCTTTAAACAAACAAACAAACAAGGCCAGGCGCAGTGGCTCATGCCTGTAATCCCAGCACTTTTGGAGGCCAAGGCAGGCAGATCACCTGAAGTCAGGAATTTGAGACCAGCTTGGCCAACGTGGTGAAATCCCATCTTTACTCAAAACACAAACATTAGCAGGGTATGGTGGTGGGCGCCTGTAATCCCAGCTACTCAGGAAGCTGAGGGGGGAGAATTGCTTGAACCCAGGAGGTGAAGTTGCAGTAAGCTGAGATTGCACCACTGCACTCCAGCCTGGGTGACAGAGCGAGACTCCATCTCAAAAAAAAAAAAAAGTCTGGGCACGGTGGCTCATGCCTGTAATCCCAGCACCTTGGGAGGTGGAGGCGGACGGATCACCTGAGGTCAGGAGTTTGAGACCAGCCTGACCAACATGGAGAAACCTCATCTCTACCGAAAATAAAAAATTAGCTGGGCGTGGTGGCAGGTGCCTATAATCCCAGCTACTCGGGAGGCTGAGGCAGAAGAATCACTTGAACCCGGGAGGCAGAGGTTGCGATGAGCCGAGATCACGTCATTGCACTCCAGCCTGGGCAACAAGAGCGAAACTACGTTTCATAAAGAAAAAAA